TTTTCACACACTTCTCTTAGGGATTCCACCTGGCTTTTATTTTATTGGCACAGCCAGTATTTGAGGCTGCCTGGCTGGTGCAAATATTGCAGTGATACTGGCAATACAAATGCTGGTATTTTTCTCAGTATAAACAAGAGATTACTCTGCAATACCAGCACCGGCCAGTAGGGGTCGCTGTATGTGGAGACAGGCAGGGATAGGAAGTTCCAGCATATCCCTCCCTGCCAATCTATACTCACTGATCTGCAGGGGTGCAGTTACAGAGAGTCCAGACAGCCACTCCCACCCTGCAGAGACAGCCTACAGCTCAGGGAAGTAAGGGATGGGGGGGAAAGGCTGCAAGGAGACATACACTGAGACACTAGGGGACATTGGGAGACATTATGACACAGACACATGGGGACACAGTGTCCCCATGTCTCCCAGCCAGTGTCCCTGGTGTCCCAGTGACCCCCAGTCTCCCAGTGCCCCCAGTCTGCCAGTGGCTCACTGTCCCCATGTCTCCTAGTGCCTCCATGTCTCCCAGTGCCTCAAGTGTCACAATGTCCCCAAGCAAGTGTCCCTAGTGTCTGTGGCCCCATGTCTCCCAGTGCCCCCATGTCTCAATGTCCCCATGTCCCCCAGCCAGTGTCTCTAGTGTCTTTGTCCCTGGTGTCTGTGTCCCCATGTCTTCAAGTGTCCCCTATTTTCCCATTGTCCCCATGTCCCAGCCAGAGTCCCCTAGTCTCCCAGTGTCACTGGTGTCTCCGTGTCCCTAGGTCTCCCCGTGTCCCCAGGTCTCCCCGTCTTCCTAGTGTCCTAGTGACATGGGGACCCTGGGATACATGGGGACACAGGGAGACATGGGTCATTGAGACAATGATACATAGGATCACTGGGAGACCTGGGGACACGACACTAGGGGACACAGGGAGACATGGGGCACTGAGACACTGATATATAGGAACACTGAGACCTGGAGTAATCGACACATGGGGGCACTGAGTCCTTAGGGCACTGGGAGGAATCCATCTATACAGCAGATTTAAACTAAGTAGTTTTTTGGTGATTTTACTTCATTTTCTCTTATGTCACTCCTTGTGATTTACATCATGTGATGTCACCCACACATATTTAATTATGCAAATTAGTAAGGCTGGTATGTTTTTTCCAAGTATGGAAACTTAAGAGGGATGTATGGGAACAAAACTTGTGCGGAACTGGCTGACAATGAATATAGTTAAAGAGACACTATAGTCACCAGAACAACTACAGCTTATTGAATTTGTTCTGGTGAGTAGAATCATTACCGTCAGGCTTTTTGCCGTAAACACTATCTTTTCAGAGAAAATGCAGTCTTTACATTACATCCTAGTGATAACTTCACTGGCCACTCCTTAGATGACTGTTAGATATCCTTCCTGGGTCATGGCTGCCTAACATGCATCCAAACATTCAGTGTCTCCTCCCTCTGCATGCAGACACTGAACTTTCCTCATAGAGATTCATGAATTAAATTCATCTATATAAGGAGATGCTGATTGGCCATGGCTGTGTTTGAATCATGCTGGCTCTGACCCTGATCTGCCTCTTTGTCAGTCTCAGCCAATCCTATGGGGAAGCACTGTGATTGGATCAGGCCACCACTTCTAATGATGTCAGCAGACTGCTTGTTTTTATGAGTCTAACAGCATGCAGAGTTACAGCTTCAGGCTTGAATATAGCAAGATTTTGCTATATTTATGGAGGCATGAGGGGCCCAGGGGGGCTAGATGGTGATGTTAACACTATAGGGCCATGAATTCTTGTTTGTGTTCCTGACCCTATAGTGATCCTTTAAGGTAATGCTGACTTTGGTCTCTCTAACACTGTGGCATGTTCCCTTTCTTCTACACTCACTACATACAGCTTTTCTCTGTCCCAGACCATATACCAGGAGCTTCTGCCTGATAGTAAGACGGTAAGGAGACAAGTGGACCAGCGAGTGCTAGGGGACAGGTCTTAGAAAGCGTTGAGTGAGCGCATCATTAGATGCATTTATGCCAAGCTCAGGGTGCTGTCTGCATAGTATTCCCTTAGTTGGCCAGCTGCATGATTGGCAGGCAGCCTGACATGCATTCATGCCAGGCTGGCCTTCTAATTCTTTGAGCAGACATGTCCTCTTTTTAGGCATGTTCGCCCCTTTTGGCAGGTTACGTGATTTGTGTCAGTGGCACACCCTTTTACCATGCCCATTGACTTCCTGCTTGACTGGACACTGCTGTTAGGGGTTATGGATTTACTTGAAAGATGAAAACATAAATTAGAGAGAGATTAGCCTAGGGTATGTGTTTTCTTATAGCTGCTGTTTTCTTTCTCTCCAGCACCATCTCCATCAGATACATGATGCTTGGGTGTGTTTTACTGTTTTTGGTCGATGTGATTCTGTAATTAGGCCCGTCATAATTGTCAGCACCAGGCCCACTGGGCTCTTAATCTGGCCCTGTGTGTGGGAATGCATCCCCCTTCCTTTTACCTCTTCCCTTCATTCTATCTCCCTTCTCACACTTCTCCCCCATCCCCCTGTATCTCTTGCCCTCTCTTCTCAATCCCTTTTTTTTCTTCTTCTTCTTCCTCTCCCATCTTTCTTATACTCACTGATCACCCTTCTGATATAAACCGGCTTTTACAACATTCTTCAGTCCTCCCTTGTGCATATAACTAAAACTGCTAGATGGGAGACACACATATTGGTCATCCAGGGAGAGATCTGCCCATGGATACTGGAAGCCGAGTATATGCCAGAATCTCTATGAGTGCGGGAGACGCTCTTCCACCTTTTCTCTGTGGAGTACCCTGAATTAGCAGGGGCGAAGAGAAGAGAGGTAAGGGACTTGGATGGGGTTATTCTAGTCCATTCTTGACTCATATCAAAGCTGTCCTCTCCGAGGTTAAGGTCATCTTCTGAGCTCAACGTAACACTGTGTAAAACTGTAACTACAAAAACCATCTCTCCCTTCTGTACTTCAGATTTCAGTTATGGTATTTGTTGTAAAAAAAAAACTACTCTCGATTTCGACCACTTACAGTAATTATTCTTATGCCTGTAATGTATTCTTGTACATTTATTTACGTATACCTTTTCTCTTTAACTACAATAAAAAAATTAAAAAATTGTCAAAATAAAAAGCATTTAACACAAGGAATTTTTGAATGAAATATTGTTCTTTGCAAACTGAATTTCAAATTTGAAGCCAGAGTAGAGAAACTGAAAGCATTACTGACTTAGATAATGTTTCCAATTCAACTATTTTGACTTTAAATTTAAAATTAACTTGGCAATCAACATAACATCTCACCTTTGCAGCAACACCTGGAATCCCAATTCTTCTAACCAGTTTTGTTCACGTATTAATTCTTCTCAGAACATTGTTATGTATTACTCAAAAAGGACTTACCTCTAGTTAGTAATGTTGCTTCTCTTTAATTCATTAATTTGTTCCATATTCAGAAATGTACTTAATCCCTTCCTTACCTTTCTGGCGAGATATCCAGTTATTATTTGTACTCAGATTGTATAGACATACTGGATCTAAGACAATCCTAAGGTTGTCAGTAAATAATGCAAACCAAATCAAGAGTCCACTGGGTTTTTTACATTGTATTTACTCATATTCTTGAACTTTACGAATACATTATTTATATCGGATTAATTGTCCTGTTATTATCAGTAAAGCTTCCTGTTCAACTGAATCTGGATCCTGGTGTTCAGATAGATCTAAGTGTGTCCTAAGCACTGGAGCAATTTTATAACAAATGGGTATACGCTAGTGATGGTGAAACTTATGAAGAAGAACTCTCCATTTACTGCATGGTAGCCAACAATCCCAGAGGTCAAACTAACTTATGCACACCAAGGTTCTTGATACACCCTTATATAAACATTGTTAGATTGGTCACAGTTAGTTGATATGGGTTTAAACCAAGCCGTTAGTGTGAAAGATCAGGCATCAAATATAGATAAAAGAAGAATGGTAGCTGATATAGAATAATGGACAACAGTGGTGTTTTTCCTATGTGGAGAAAAGGTGAATTGGTAGGGGAAAAGAGGGCTAATTTTGTGGACAAGGAGTAGATTGATGTGCTTTGAATATGGGACTAGTAGAGGATGGGAAACGCAGAAATTGCACTAGTGGGAATTGGCGTTGGTAGATGACTTCAAAGAGGGCTGATGTGAATGTGGGTAGCAAAGGAGATGGAGAAAGTACTGAGCGGAAAGTAAACAATGGAAGGTTGGAATAAAGAAACAGAGGTTGCTGGCATAGAAAGAGTGAGATGTTGAGGATGTGATAGAGATGGGAATGAAGTAAAGGAAAAGATAGAAAGGAGATGCAAATGGAGACTCCATTTTGATCTGTGGAATTAATCAGCAATATTTGGAGTTAGGTGAATATCCATAACAGGTGTCTTGAAGAATTTTTCCAATCTGGCTAATTATGCCTAAAATGTAAAAATCACATTGAATTCCTGATAATTCACACTTTACTGAATGACTCTGTGCATATTTATGTCTGTCTGTCTGTCTGTCTGTCTATCTCGGGGTGAAAGTGGGAATGTGATGGACATAGAAACAGTCAATAGAACATATGTTTTGGCTTGCCATAATAGATATAACATATATGCTTGAATTTAACATAAAGAAAAACAGTACAGTAACAGAACCACGTGAACAAGACAAATGAGAGGAAGACTTTGTTAAATCTTGCCATTGGTACAATTTGTACAAGAACTTCTCAGCACTCAGGTTGAATTCTCCAGACACGTCAAAACATGTACAATAATTCAAAACATTCCATTTATTATAATATGAATACAATTACTTGGTATAAGTCATTTGCACTCCCCTGTAGCAAAGTCAGCACTTTATATTCTAACTAATCTAGAAAATCAATCTAGTAATTATATAGCAATGAGAACATCATACTCTGTGTCTGGAATTGCTGAGAAATACATTGTATTTTCTGAGCATGGGTGTTGGTGTCACGATATAATTTGATGTTATTATGTTATTTACACTAGCTTTAGTTTGTTTTGCCTATGGAGATCATTGTTTATCGGCACTTTGTTCCTTCATCAACTCAAATCCTACTTGATATAATATAATTATGCAGGTATGCATGAGGAGCAACAAGATAATTATTGAACAGTTAATTTTTTGTAAATCTTTGTTTTATTGAAGCAATGTGAGTTCGTTACAGAAGAGAAGAAAAGGGTGAATAATATATCAGCGAGTAATCATACATTTGCAATAACCATTAACATTGATACATATTCTCATGAATGTCTACTTAATTTTATATTTTAAAGGATGTCGCTATGTCAGGTTAGCTCGGCATGTATGATTGTGATAGTGCTGTGGTAGTGTAGATTCACTCAGCTGCAATGCCTGTCTTGGTAGGTTAATGAAAGAGTGATGCAAGACTAAGTGGGGTCTCAGACACACATTGGGCAAGTAGTTTGTGAGTCAGGCTGAAGTTGTCGCGTTGATAATACCATATGGTTTTGGCAAACAAACAGGCTAATCGTGTTGTTTCGTTCAATGTTGCTGCGGTTTGTCGGTTGTTGCCACATGTTAGGTTTGTTAACACATATGTTAGTTGAGGGGGGCAGCTTAGTAAGGACCATAAGAACAGCTGGGTTTATCTGTGTGACCTGAACAGGTGTGTCATTTGGCCACTCGGTATAACTCGTGGATGTACAGTACCAGTCCGCTTTTGTGGGTTAGTTCATGTGCTTTCCCCACTGACCAGGCTCATCAGGTCCCCGGGTCAGCCGATTCCTCCTGCTGGCGCGGGTTTCCGCGATGTTTCTGCTGTCGTGGTGTCTCTGCGCTAAAGGGCCGCTTTTCTTTGGCCTGAGGCCTTAATAGGCGCTCGCGCCCGTTCGCCATTGATCCCATCAGCAGGATCGTGGGCCCAGGGTTCCGCCTTATCCCGAACTTCTCCCTGGGGGTATGGCAGGCTGTGGAGGAGTTCCTCCTGGTGAGCGCCCAGCTCAGATGAAGGGTGAGTGATCTTCACAGTAGCATTATCCACGTGGATAGTGCGTCGTGTTAGGTTACTAACGCCATGCGCCTGGAGTGTCTCTGGACTTGGGAACTGCTGCCTGATACGGGTCATTTGGTGCTTGTTGCCCTGTGCGCTGGGCTGGATGGTGGCTGTAGTTCGCTTTGGGCTCTGCGTTTCGGTTCCTGCGCATATGGCCTATGCCATCTTAGACGTGGGCCTTGGGCCTGTATAGTGGCATGTCAGTGCCTCCGAGTGTGGCTATGGGGCTTGGACCGGGATTACCCCCCCAGTCCAGAGGGGGGGGGGCTCGGGACCGGGACTGCAGTTGGTCCGCGTGTTTGTCGGGGGACAGAGTGTGTGTGTCTGTCAGTGGCTAGGAGCACTATGACCTGACAAAATGGTCTAATCACAAACTTCTCTATAAGCCGCAGCACCAGTGACTTCTGAGGGGGGCGAAGAAGATCAGGCAATAGCCTTTCAATGCTTTCCTATGGTAAAGCATTAGATTGGCTGAGATCATCTAATTTGACGGGGACTGGGCCAGCCATGAGGACACCAGGGTGGCGCAGGAAAAAAAGTAAGTAAATCACCTTTTTAACAGGTGGGTAATGGGCGTCGGCGACTTAATCCGCTATTTTAAACCTGTAGTGTCAGGAATATACATTTCTATTCCAGACACTATAGCATTAATTTAAGGTGGCTCATAACGTTTAACACCTGGTTTGTAATTTAGGATACAACATTTTGAGGCCTGCATACCTCAAACAAACACATTGCCAAAATTCACAAATACCCCCTTATACATACTGCCATGCTACACAAGCACACATAAAAAATACTGATCTATTTAAAAAAACTAAATTTAAATCATGTATTTAAATATACTCTGAATCGACATATCCCGACACTACACACAAAGACATACATATATTCACGTACAACAGGGCTCAGGGGCGGACTGACAACTCACAGGGCCTTTGGACAATAGGAGACCAAGGGCCCCCTTCTGGTGCAAAGTTTTTCCCCCCTTTGTTTGCTGGTGACATCACAAGCAGCATCCCCCACATTTGTTTTCAATCATACAAGTCCATACAAGTAGCCTGGAAACGTTTGTAGGCGACTTGTGGGGTTCAGTGTGTGGAATGCTGCTTGTGATGTGTTCCTGTATGTCAACGTGTTGTGTATAATTTTTTGCCTTTTACCTATTGTACTGCGCTGCAGAATATGTTTGTGCTATATAGATGGTTGTAATTATGCTGTGTGTGTGTGAGTGTTTGTGTAAGGAGGCTGTATGCAATATTGCAATGGTAGGAATGCTGCTTGTGATAACTGTCCGTAGGGAGGCTGCATGTTGTTTTCCAAGTGTGGGGATGCTGCTTGTGGGATTGTGTGCTTACAGTGAGGCTTCTGGTGGAGTTGAGTGTGTGAATGAGTCTGTTTGCAGTGTAGTATGTGGGTTGAGACCATGGGCGTCCGCAGGAATTTTTCCAGGGGGGGGCATAATTGTAATGACATCCATGCTTGGTACCTTTTTGACAGTGTCATGAAAGGGAAGGGGCATAGCCATTATCACATAAAGCCAGGGTGAATAGCGTTTTCACAACTATGGTGTCAGGAATATATGTTTGTATTCCTGACACTATAGTGTTCCTTTAAGCAAATTAAAGGACATTTCTGGTCACCATTCACCTAAATGAAAATGCTATGATGCCAGGAAGCCCCTGGGTGCTCGCTTTTCCTTTAAGGGGTTAAATCGCTCTCAAATGGTTTAACCCTAAAGGCTTCCTCCAGCTCCAGGTCGCTCAGTGGTATTTGGCTTCTGAAACAGAGTGTCAGGAAGTGCAGATTGACGTCAGGCATGGGTGCCGCTGATTGGCTAGAGTGGACAGTTGACGCTCTAAGCCAATCGCTAGTTCCCGATTCATAAAATATTTTTACTTTTTTATGAATGGGGAGCTACTGATTGGCTTAGAGTGCCAGCTGACCGCTCTAGCCAATCAGCAACACCCCTACCCAACGGCACTCTGTGCTTCATGACACTCAGTAAATAAAAGTGAACACATTAACACTGATTTTTTTTTACCTTTGGAGATGAGAAGGTCCAGCGTTTCCCTGCCAGGCCCAGGTACCAAAGCCTTATGATGTGGTGTTCAGAATAAAGTGGAGGGTTCACTTCATTTGTCCTTCCTGGTCCAGTCTCCTTTTCCTCTCCTTCATTTGACAGTCTTCTGACACTGTTTTCTATCCTTGGCCCCTTCTGCTCTTTTACCTTTCTGCTACTTTCTGCTTATTTTGCGCCCTTCTGCTCCTTTCTCATTCTGATCCCTTTGTGCCTTTCTACTCTACTCTTGTGCTCCTTGCTGTCCTTTCTTGCTCTTTCTCCTACTTTACCTTTGTGCTCCTTCTGATTCTTTCTGCTCCTTTACCTTTGTGCTCCTTGCTGTCCCTTTGTGTTCCTTCCTGCTCCTTGCAGGCCCTTCCTGCTCATTCTCCTACTTTTATGTTTGTGCTCCTTCTGCCCCTTCCAGCTCATTTCTGACCCTTTCTGCTCCTTCTACTTTACCTTTGTGCTGCTTTACCTTCAAGCTCCTTGCTGACCCTTCCTGTTCATTTCTATATATCTATAGGCTGCCCCCCTCCCCAAATCTATGGGCTGCTGCCCTCCTCCCCAAATCTATGGGCTGCTGCCCCCTGTTCATTTCTATATATCTATAGGCTGCTGCCCCCCCAAATCTATAGGCTGCTGCCCCCCAAAAAAATCTATGGGCTGCTGCCCCCCCAAAATCTATGGGCTGCTGCCCCCCCAAAATCTATGGGCTGCTGCCCCCCCA